TTCAAGCTAGAGATGTCCGGTTGATTTTATTTTAAACTAGACACCTAACTGCGTGGGGTGCTAGGATCCGATTTTTGATTTAGGTCTTCGTTAGTTTTCTAAAGATCGAAGGTTTTCAAAACTCCGAAAAACGTTGACGGTTTTTCAGGATTCTTGATTTTCTAGAAAAGGAAAGCCTAATTCAAAAATCGGATCCCAGCACCTCACGCAGTTAGGTGTCTAGTTTAAAATAAAACCAACCCGATATCTCTAGCTTGAAGTATATTTAAAAAAAGGGTTCCACACTAGAGAGTGGTTTTTGACCTTGGACTCTGGAAAACCCCGGAAGGTTAAAAGATAGCGAGCTAAACAAAATTTCATAATCACACTTTGATATGGCAAACATTTGCTGAAAGTTTAATCAAAATCGGATGTAAGACAAGAATACACTTAGGCTTAGAATACACAAAGAAACTTGAGATAATGAATTTTGAATAGCAAAAAAGTACTAATGTAAAGTGTTGAATGATAATATGTAAAAGAAACAGATAATATCGCTTGAATTTTTTTCTAACTATACACGATGTTTTAATGCAAACTTCGATTATAAAGTATTTTCGGAGAAAAAAATGGTTTCTGTGTCATTGTATGGTCTGATTATTATACTGTTATCAGCACGCTTATCTAAAGTGCTTACTAAAAATACCATAACATTGATTTCTACGACTTTTCCATTATACAAAGATGCATGCTCATCATTATCATGTACATTATCTTCACCGATACCCACCTGTTACGGGCTATGTAATAATCCAATTGTTCAAGAAATTGAAAGACTCTCCTAATTTTTTTCAAGACAACATTTCGATGATGATGATGATGATGGTCTACAGTCGAATACAATCGAAGACAGCTTTATATGCCGATGGTTTGAACTTGACTGAAGAAAATGTTATTATTCGGGATATTGCATCCTCTGCTGACAATATGAAAAATGATAAAATGAATATTAATAATCTACGCAATCGTACTAGACTCGCATTTGTACAAATACTTGAACGATATTTCAATTATTGTGGGCTTCCTCTTAATTCAGACGTCAATATTAAATTACTCGAAATATTCAGTGCTGAGTCGATCCACTTCGCTCCGAGCGAAACACTATCGTTAGGACGGGCGCCACTGGAAATGAACGATTACGTTCGAAAAGTCTCGAATAAGCTGTCCACGAATGTTTTTATTGGCAATATTGTAGTTAGTAGATACTTCAAATGCATGATGTCATTCTTGATACTGTTACTACCACTACAAATCCTGACCCACTTATTACGTCAACCACATCTGAACTTCTCTCTGATACTGATAATATGGTCACGTCAACGCCGTCAGTTAGTCTCACGGCTAAGAACGTATCTGAAAATATTCGTTATTCGCACAACAAAGACAATTCCGAGATCCAACCCTCTTTTGGTGGTCTATAGCTCTGGGATAATAAGAACTGGGGATTTGAAACTGGTGTAGAATAGAAGACGATAAGGAGGCTTTTTTTTAATCCATTGTTTGACATTTGGAAATCATCTTTTTCTGGAACTCCAGCAGTCTTATCTTTCAAAGATTAATAAGGTACACCATGTGGAGGTGGTTTTCGAATCTGGAGTTCTCCTTATCCTTATGTTCTAACGTTTTGGCTACATAATGGTGAAAACCTCAAGTTTCTATCTTTATTCTGTCGACTGTTATTCTAAAAATGTCTAGGAGCATTATATTTTGGTACCGATAGTAGTAAAATAATTTTCAACTAAGTTTTCATTTACAGTTGGTAATGAAAACATATACCACAGCATTTCCTTCCATCTTGTATTTAATCATGTATGTTGTTTAATCTGATATTAATTGCTCACTCATACGAGTAATACCAGGCCGACAGAGAAAAACGCTGGAAGTTATACATATAGCGAGCAAGTGAAAAGACGAAAAAAGAAAGAAGCGAAAAAAGGAATATAGATTAAAGTCTTATGAGAGTTTATTTTCCATCTACGAACAACCCGTCGGAAGTCGAATCTTATACTTTATGCGGTAATCCGTTAAGATCAGATCATCCAGCACAAGTAAAATATCAACTCGATTGTCATCATATCTATAATAATCCTCGTTTCTTTACGTATACGGATGACTGCTGCGTTTAAGATTTAAGGGGCAAAAATATCATGAAAGTGAGTACATTTTAAACCTCCTGCAGATACCGTGGACAATATCTCACAACGATAACTGCGTTTTATCATTCCTGATTTTCCTTTTCCGAGTTAAATTGTTTTAAAAATCAGAATCTCAAATTTTACCCAAGGCTATTCCAGTTTTATTTTACTTAATAGTATATCAATCGTTTATAATTGATGTTACATTAAAAATCACACTCAAATTTATGAAGTAAGTAAGAAGTTTAAAGTGATGATAGGTGAATGAGGTGTTAATAATTTTGAATTAATAAAATGTGTGAGAATGTGAAAAAACTCTTAAAAAATATCGGCTTGCAAACAAATTTACTAGACTGTAAAAGTAATTAATGCACTTTTAAGTAAAAGAGAAGTGGCATTCTTTGCTATTATATTCTCCAATAATCATACAAATCGCACATGTTCTATTTCATAACGTACCATCGATCGTTTTGCATATCACATTGGAAAGACATTGATATTGTTAATCCTTTATATCAGGTGACTTTGCTGCTTCTTTGCAAAGTTCTTCTGCTAATTGACAAGCTCTATCTGCATCGGCTAAAATTGGGACAGAAGTAATTGCATTACAAATGTGAAGAATATGTACAAAAAGACAGCCCTACAGAGATCACACTGTAAACTATCTGTAAGCATAAGTATTTTTTCAAAAATCAATTTTGTCAGAGATAAAGTGCATTAAAGTTGTATTTCCAATAAAATACGTTTTCGCCCTTTATATATGATTTACCTGGCGAAGAGTCTAGCAGAATCTTCTAGCGAAAAAAAGAAACATGAAATATGTTACAGCTTCCATGGTTTCTGCGTTTTAATGAGCAAGCACGACAAAGAGGATTTTGTGTAATTATCAAATATCATTCTTGAACAGGAATAGGAAATGTTCCCGGAAGCGCTCTTGCGGCAGAGGAAATTCTACATGTTTGGGGTTATATTGATCTGATGATTTTTTATCAGTCGCAAACCGTACCCAATATTTTCTATAAACATTATGGCATCAAACTTAGCTCAGCTCAAGATCCCATTCTAAAGGATGCTTTTTTTAGTGGTATTCATATACTTTGTTGAAGGACTTCTTATCTCTCAGCGTAAGTACCTGAAGAATATTTCTTGTAAAAATGTTCATCCCATTCTGTTTCATAATCAGATATAATTTGTAGAAGTGATGTACACAGTTCCCTAACACGATTATTTTTGCAACGAGCAACTAATTCTGAAAGTACAGAAGCTTTTTTTACAGTATTGTAATCGTCGGCTATCATAATACTATGAACAACATCATTTGCTACCTAGAAATAAATCAAACAAGTTAGTATATAAAAGAAGTAACGTTCGCTACGATTCACTCGAGCGTTGACTGAAAGTTAGAATTACAAAAGCAAGCCCGACCACCGAAACGACTATTATAATAAAATAGGAAAGGACGAAAGAAAAAGCACATAGGCCAAGACGAACATGTAGAACGCGCTAAAAACAGATGTGTAATGGCAACCCACGACTGTCTACCTTCAATCAATGATGCGAAGAACTGAGTAATTCACAGAAAAACCGTAAATATAGAAACGGACGGCGAAAGAAAGCTACTCAACAAAAGAACACCGTCTTCCAAAAGTAAAATCGATCACACAATCTACATCTTTCCTGCTCTTATGCAACCCAAAAGAGTCAAAAACCTAGAACGCTCTTTAACATAAACTAGGATCAGGATGACCAGACTTAACGAAAACTAAAAAGAATGCACAAAACTACTTCACAAAATGGAATATCTACTAAGTCACAGTAAAACAATATCGAAGGGCTCTCGCAAAAAGGACTATTGAAACGGTCTACTGCGGACGGGCGAACGTTTCGTTCGTATTCAGAGTCATTCTGGATATTAAACGCATAATCGGGGACTCTTTCCACCTTTAACCGTCGGAAACTTCCGAATTTTGGAGATTTCAGCCAATAAAAATAGACTTCACTAATATATTATTTCCTAAACATGTTAAAAAATTTGCCCAAATAAAGCCCATCTTTTCTTTGATTCAAATCGATGAATTGTCGAAAATTTTGATTTTGCTTCGTTTACGAACACCCGATCCTTATTGGTTATTTGACATTATTGAACAAAGTGTTTCAACAAGTCTTACGTATCAAGAATGGAACAGCTCGAATTGAAATCTAAATTCAAATTCAAGAGGTTGAGTATGATGCATCTCTACTCAAATCGTCAAGTAAATCCCTAAAATACGTCTTTAAAAGAGTCTTCATATTCATTCTTTTTACAGTATGTTGAGATATAAATGAACAACAAAATGTAGATGTTGAGTTATCAACTTTCGAGATAAAGCGGCTAGTTCAAAAGTTTCCGATGTTGTCGAGATATAAATTAGTCCTAAAGTTTTTTGCATTGCACTGTAATTCTATTTAAAAAGGGCAAGAAATATACATCACAGAAATTGAATAACAGTTGAACATTCAAACCACTCGTGATACTAACGAGATGATGAAAGACTTACATGGTAGGATGTAATACAACACCACAAATAAACGCCACTCCTTCGACATTCATGTGATGTTCTTAAATGATAATATGCTTGCAATAACCATTTTCGTGCAACAGATGGTTGAGGATTCTTTTGTTGACGTCTACCACTTCTTCTTCTATATCTTTTGTGGGAATTCGTATCATAATAGTTTCTTGAAGTAAAATACCAAGAAAAATTTGTTCTTCTACCAGCGTACGTGAATCCTGTATTAGAAGAACTTGTAAAACGATCACTGTGGGCTTCTGCATTAGCCGAATCATTGAATACTTTGTTTCCATTGATTAAACGATCAATACATTGTTTCAAATATTTAAACGCCTCTGTATATAAATATATTTGTTCTAAATTTTTATCTGGATGATAACGTAACATTAACCGTTTAATCCCTATTGCTTGTTCATTTTCGGACAAATCTTTGATATGTTTTACATCTATGTCAATTTGTTCTTTTAATGTTTTTAAACATGTAAATTTATGTGCTTTATCTTTTGTTGTTACCGGCATACTTGTAACCATCATTTCTTCATTATTCATATCGCCATCATTCTTTGTTTGTATTTCATGGAATGACGAAGAGCTAAATCGATACAAATAAATACCACTTATTATTTCATACTTTCCTAATTCAATTTCAACTTGATATTTTTTTCGAAACTCATTAGCATGGTCTTCGACCAATTTAACAATTCGTGCATGGTAATATTCTGGTAGATAATCTGTTGTGATATTCGAATCTTTCAGATCGCTTGCAGCATCGTCGATAGGAATTTCTCGTGCAATGTAGTCACCTGGTGCACACGAATAAATTCCTTGTACGAGATCTTGAAATTCATCTGATGTAACTAAAGAACCCAGTTTTGGCACGTATGATGAATTATTAAAATTAAATTCTTTACATTCATGTAGATTATGCGTATCCAATATCGCTTCATACTCGTGTGCATCACTGAGTATTATATCACGAATAACATCGAGCAGTTCGAATGCTTGACTCTGATTTCGACCATTGCAGAAGATAGTACAACATTGTTTTTGAATCGTTTTGCCTAATTCTTTAGCAAAATATTCATCTTTCCTTGTTGATCTATTCTCATAAATATATAACAAATAACTCATATTTCCATTATTAGATATGTCTTTCAAGTGAGATGGACATTCTTTCTCACTATTAGCAATCATTTTACCCGTTTTTTTATTAAATACCACTTCTTTCATTGACTGTGTTGTGATATATACTTTTAATCCATTAAGAAATTGAATTAATCTTTTAATATTTGCTTCTGTTGCGTCCGTGCTAAAGAAGTGTTGTACAATACGATTAATGGCATGGAAAAATTCAGTGGCATGGATTGTACCAGTCAATGGTGATATATTGGTTGTATTATCTGTTATCCTATCATCGTTAATT